AGAAAAAACAATGGCAATGCATACTTTGTGGTTCTGTATGTGGCATCCAGATACACAAGCTCCTTTCCATACCGTGAAAGCAATCTTCTCTGCCAGGAAGACTGGTAAATGACTAGGAAAGACTGATCTTCATTTACAACAAAGCAGCCACCATCCTCTTCAAAGTCATCTTCAATGACAGGACGCTTCACAAATGATGACTTTCGGAAAGTCCACATGTCATCTGGACGCTCCTCTTGCCACACACGTATTTTCTCTTCCAGGTCTTCCTGGTCAATCAGGCTGTGCAATGTTTTGCGCCTCTGCCGATATATAATTTTTCTGAGGTCATCTTTGCTTGGATAAAATCGCCGATTTGTGACTCTGGGCAACTCTCGGTCTTTGAAGAGATCTTTTATGTAGATCTTAAGGTGTCGATGCATTTCTTTTGGATTATAGACCCCTTCATCTACAAGCTTACAAATTTTCTTCAGAACTCTTTCATCAATTGGGGATTTTAAATCAGCAGCCTACAAGAGGACAAAGTACATCACATGACATAACAATAACTATACTAGCAAACTACCAAAGTCAGGAAGGGCCCCGCTGGCTGCTTTTGTCTCACATAATCAAAAATCGTTATAAAATGTACTAACGGAAAGGTTTTGTCACAAGGAACAGTGATATCAAGTATGAAAGCCAGATAGAACCAGCGAATGATGTGAGAGAGTGTATATCTGGTAGTACCTGTTGTAATATTGAAATGACAACAGATAGAACCGGACAATGATGTAAGATAGTGTAGATCTGGTGGTATCTGTTGTAATATTGAAATGACAACAGATAGAACCAGACAATGATGTGAGAGTGTAGATCTGGTGGTATCTCTTGTAATATTGAAATGACAACAGATAGAACCAGACAATGATGTGAGAGAGTGAAGATCTGGTTGTATCTGTTGTAATATTGAAATGACAACAGATAGAACCAGACAATGATGTGAGAGAGTGTAGATCTGGTGGTATCTGTTGTAATATTAAAATGACAACAGATAGAACCAGACAATGATGTGAGAGAGTGTAGATCTGGTGGTATCTGTTGTAATATTGAAATGACAACAGATAGAACCAGACAATGATGTGTGAGAGTGAAGATATGGTGGTATCTGTTGTAATATTGAAATGACAACAGATAGAACCAGATAAAGGTGTGAGAGAGTGTAGATATGGTGGTATCTGTTGTAATATTGAAATGACAACAGATAGAACCAGACAAAGGTGTGTGAGAGTGTAGATATGGTGGTATCTGTTGTAATATTGAAATGACAACAGATAGAACCAGACAATGATGTGAGAGAGTGTAGATCTGGTGGTATCTGTTGTAATATTGAAATGACAACAGATAGAACCAGACAATGATGTGAGAGAGTGTAGATCTGGTGGTATCTGTTGTAATATTAAAATGACAACAGATAGAACCAGACAATGATGTGAGATATTGTAGATCTGGTGGTATCTGTTGTAATATTAAAATGACAACAGATAGAACCAGACAATGATGTGAGAGAGTGAAGATCTGGTTGTATCTGTTGTAATATTGAAATGACAACAGATAGAACCAGACAATGATGTGAGAGAGTGTAGATCTGGTGGTATCTGTTGTAATATTAAAATGACAACAGATAGAACCAGACAATGATGTGAGAGATTGTAGATCTGGTGGTATCTGTTGTAATATTAAAATGACAACAGATAGAACCAGACAATGATGTGAGAGAGTGTAGATCTGGTTGTATCTGTTGTAATATTAAAATGACAACAGATAGAACCAGACAATGATGTGTGAGAGTGAAGATCTGGTTGTATCTGTTGTAATATTAAAATGACAACAGATAGAACCAGACAATGATGTGAGAGTGAAGATCTGGTGGTATCTCTTGTAATATTGAAATGACAACAGATAGAACCAGACAATGATGTGTGAGAGTGAAGATCTGGTGGTATCTATTGTAATATTAAAATGACAACAGATAGAACCAGACAATGATGTGAGAGGGTGTGTAGATATGGTTGTATCTGTTGTAATATTAAAATGACAACAGATAGAACCAGACAATGATGTGAGAGAGTGTAGATCTGGTGGTATCTGTTGTAATATTGAAATGACAACAGATAGAACCAGACAATTATGTGAGAGAATGTAGATCTGGTTGTATCTGTTGTAATATTGAAATGACAACAGATAGAACCAGACAATGATGGGAGAGAGTACAGTAGATCTGTTTTAATATTTAGATGATAACTTATAGAATATTTTTTGTTTAATCATTGATATATTGCATTTTATATAGAAATGTACATATGATTGAATTATCCAAAGAGAATATTCTATTTCTTTTGTAATTGCATTTTCAAAAATGATTAATATAAATTACAAGTATGATTGTTAGCTTTTTACAAGAATATATAACACATATATATGGCCTATACTTGATACTTACCATTCCCAGGATGTGATTTTTGTGTTCCTTTGGGAGATCTATATATATGACTTTGCGTTGTTCAACCTGCTCATAGCAGGATGAATGAAGGTCATTTCTCAGTTTTGTTGACATACCTTCACGCCAGTACCTTGTATCCTGTGGAACCTAGCAAAATTGAATGGATCAAAATGTATACTCAACATCAAAAAGTAGATATTATTCAATGACATTATCTATTTTTGACAAAATGACTGGGGATCATGTCAGTGCTACAAATATGTATTGGTATTACTAGATATTAGTATGTAAGATGTATTAGGTTAGACAGAAATATTGGAATTTAGGAAAAATGTTGGCAATGTAAAAAAAATCACAAATGAATTGCATTGATACCCGGTAATTGAAATATGTATCCTTACCACATTTTTTTTTAAATTAAAGTTTTGATGGTGATTAATTTTTGATTTTCTTCACTTTTACTGACAACTACCAGAACTGTTAAAGACAATTTGATACCTTGTACTGGTCGAAATGAATGACTTCCCTCATTACTATAGCCGCAGGACATCCTTTTTTTTGTACCTGTCAGCCTCTTCCTGCTTGACAGCAAGCTATAGCCATGTTCTCCCACCTGGCTTTGATTGGTGTCCTAAAAAAGTATGTCATCAATGAGGTTATACTCTGACCCTTAAATAAGTCTAACCTCCACATGATTGTTCTTACATTACTTTATTTAATTGTTTGTTAAAAAATGTATAATATAAACTAATCCAACATAATGAAATTGATATTGATTTGCTTGTAATAGAAAATGTCTTACTTTTGTTTTTTTGGTCCTGTGCTGACGGCCTTGATGACATTCCATCAGTTTTAGGCCCACTATCATAAAAGGTGCACCATTTGATGGAATGTCACACTGGTGGGCAACCTTTCCTTCATTTTTGAATCGAACAAAATGGTCTTCAACTCCATTAAGTTCTGCAGACAGTAAATATACATTACAAAATACATATATATACACCAAACTGTTACTTCACTATTGTTTAACTGCATGATTTAACTTCCTTAAGCAGAAGTTCTCTGATGAGTTGGTACAAATACATATTAGTAGATAAATATTGTACTTACTAAATGTGTATGTGAAACTTCCCCTTGATCAAGACAACAAATTTTATATATGTATTAAAAGATATCTTTAAACGCTACCTCACATTAAAATTCTCATGGTGACTACAAACCTTAAATACACTTCATAACAGAAACTTCATGTATACAAACCCTGATCCTGTCAGAAAATTTGTTTGTTGATCGAATCACATAACAGTGCACATGTAGACTAAGGACTACGGTACCTAAAAGTACTGGGAATGTATTCCTGATGTTACATGTTTGTCTTGAAATGGTGTACACTTCTGTCCTCAGAATATCAGAAATTTATCACAGTCCTCAATATTCCTATCATTTCTACTTGAATGACTTACCAAGACTAAAATGTCCAAAATTCTTCGTACATCTTGTCACAGAGTACGTAGTGGATGTCTGGTAGCAGAATTCACGAATAATGTCATTGCAGTCCTCAGGATCAGAAACCTGGCCATGGTAGGGGTCAGTAACATGATCAGCATCAAAATACTGTACCCACGGCAATTGTTCCGACATTCTATTATGTTTTGAGAAAATTAACCCGCAGATATCCCAGAATAAATATAAAAGCTACTTGAAGCAGTAGAAACACAATATTTCTTAACTGTTTTTAGTTCATAAGTTATATATATTGAGGTATCTAGAACACACAATACAGTTATGATGCAATCAATACAAGATTCTTGTAATATTAGGACTAAAAGGATAATGGTCATTTACCAATAATATTCCATCACTATTAAGGATAGAAGGATATTAAATGACCACTAATCGGTAAAATTTATATAAAATTAGAGAAAAATAGATAATGATCACATGTCAGTCACATTCCTGTAGTATAATGGTTCGCCTCACGGGCCTCGCCTCACTTCTACTTATTGCAATACTCATTCACCTCAATTAAGTCCTCTCTAAATGTAACTTAAAGTCAGCCAATATATTATGCTGTACACAAAGAAAGAAATTATCCGTGTCGATGTTTAGTTAAAAAAACGAAGCTCTTGTAGAGTTAAATACCACGCCGGCTAGCTATACATGTATGTAGATACGATAACATACATATATTTATAAACCGAAAGTAAATCACTGCGCATGTAAGTTGATCAAACCGAAAGTACAACACTACGCATGTGCATTGATTACACTTCCTGTTCTGGTGCTATCTGTTGTAATTTTCCCCGTCCCGTTGCAAGGAGGTCTCTATAGGCCTTTCCGATAACTATGTTATCTCCCCCTGTTTTTCTTACTTTTGCCGCGAGGCGGCGCTAGAATTAGTTTACATGTTCTACTTCCGGGGGCTATGGCTTCAGTGACAACGAGTGATAAAAAAACGTAACGATGCCTCCCAAGACGAAGAAATATTGTTGTATATGTAGCAACTACAGAGGAAAAGAGGTTGATTCTAAGCGTATATCACTGCACAGATTTCCAGCAATCGAAAGAGTGAAAAAAGTTTGGTTGCAACGATGCAAACTTGTGATGAAAACATTTAAGTATACCAGGAATAGTTTGTTGTGTTCAGACCATTTTGCCGACAGGGAAGGACCTTCGCCTATCAACCCGATTCCATCATGTTTTGGAAGTAAATCATTCAGAACTTCGGTAAGCTTTTTCTTAAACATATAAAAAAATATAACGCCAAATTGTTTTCATGATTATGTTGCTCGGTCGCGATAACCCATTGTGTTTCATACAAGAAATTTTACGTAGCGCATTCATGTACATGTTATAACAATAAATAAAAACCTCATCGACACTCAAGACAACAGGTAACCCAAATTTACAGGTCATTATACAGAGATTAATTATTTTGTATCCTGCTATGTACACAATTTTATAAATAGCTGTAATAACGGGATATGATCTTAGGTGGTAAATATTCATGAATAGTGTTACCTCTAACAGCCAATTACTTACAAAACGTGACATCAAAGATGTTTTCATCGAATATAGACTAGCAGATACTACTACAGTATACAAGTAACCCTGACACCATTTGAAAATGAAATGTTATAATGAATATAATATGTATGAGAATATGTATAAAAAAGTATTAAGTGCAAGATGAAAAGTTTCAATATATCTGATTAGCACTGTGTATTTGTAAATCTTGGCATATGTAGATGTGTGATCTTAATTTAGAAAAAAAAATATGCTTTAGGTAATTTATTTATAGAATAAATATACAGTGTTTATATATTCAGTTCATGAAATTGGTGTGAATAGATTTGTAAATTAAAATTAATTCTGTATTTTTTTTTCTTACAGAAACTTGATGAAAACCAAAATGATATAGAAAATGAGGTTCCAGAGGTTCTTGAACAAGAAATTGAATGCAACATCAGTTTAAACAGTGATGATTCTTTGAGCAGTGCACAGGGGTTTGTTACATCAGAGTCGGTATTAGATACATCCCTGCGAATCCATGACTACTTGGGACATTCGGATGTGGAAAGTTACTCATCAATAAGAAATCAGTATGTTCAGACAATGCCATCGAATAGAACAATTGGAACTCAAACAGAAGGTGACTCATTCGTTCGTCGTTTTGTAGATGCTGACTGTCAGACCAATGATGAAACTGTTTGTGTTGATGCTAGTGCACAGGTATCCCTCCCCATACTGACATATGATGACATCAAATCAGATGGACAGAAACTTATGTTTTATACCGGCATTCCAGATGCAGACACGTTTGATGCTTTATTTGATGAGCTAAGAGATGATGCTGAAGAAAGAACATCTCGAAGTGTTAACGGCAATGGAACTGGTGGCCGTCCACGCATCTTACGTGCCATTGATGAGTTTTTTATGGTGCTAATGCGTTTAAGATTGGGTCTCTTGTTAGAGGACTTAGCATTTAGATTTTGCATTTCAACCAGCACATGTGGGGACATTTTCAACAGGTGGATTGACTTTTTAGACAGTCAGTTATCCTTTCTTGTCATGTGGCCTAGTAGAGAAGCTATAGATAGTAATATGCCTGAAATTTTTAAAGAAAAATTTCCAACAACAAGAGTGGTTATTGATGCAACAGAGATACAGACAGAAACACCTTCATCATTACAGTTAAAATCTCTTATGTACAGTGACTACAAATCCCACATGACCTGGAAATCTCTGGTAGGAATAAGCCCAGCTGGAGTTGTGACATATGTTTCAGATCTTTGGTGTGGAAGCATTAGTGACAAACAGATCACCATAGAAAGTGGTTTAGTTGAAATGTGTGAAGCAGGTGATGCAATAATGGCTGATAAGGGCTTTACTATTTCTGATTTGACTACACCAAGAGGAGTAAAGCTGATCATTCCACCCTTCAAGAGAAAGAAAACACAATTTTCAAAGAATGATGTTAAAAAAACAAAAGACATTGCTAATGCACGTATCCATGTGGAGCGGCAAATGGAGAGAATAAAGAATTTCCGAATTGTACAGGGTGTCATGCCAATCACTATGGCTAATCGTGCGTCAAAAGTTTGGCGACTTTGTGCAAGACTTACAAACTTACAACCTCCCTTGGTTCCAGAAAATAGATTTAAACGAAAGTAGATACCAATCAGTTATTTATGTTCTGTCTGACTGCCTCTTGTTGTTCCAACATTTTACTTGTTTAAATGTATATGATTGTTACATTGTGACATAATAAATTCTAAAACTTAAGATTCAATCACAACAGGCGAAGGAGCTATTGGTAGTTCTTGTAGTTTATTTGATGTGTCGAAATTTTTACATATCAATAAAATATATGGGCATAATAATGATTAAGAGAATGCAAACTTTGCTATGTAAATAATAAATTTGGTTTAATTTGAAAATTTGGAGTTGTGTTCTGTATCAGAAGCTGAATTATATTAACACATTTGAGTCATAAATAATTCTAAAATAACATTTCCAAGTTTTGAAGGTTGGTAATTCAAAATCTCTGTGCTGAGGAAATAAAATCTAAAAATAAATCAACATATACACACAATACAAAATATTTATTATGGAGTTGCTGGTACACAATAAAATATCAGTTCTAACAATCTACTGTTTATTTGAAGATAATTTGAATAATTATATTAAACATCATTTTGTAGTTCAATAACACAATTATATATTATAATTACTTAAGTTGAAATATGCTAATGAAAACATACTAATATTTAAGTGTCTGAACAAGAATTGAAAACTTGAGTGAATATTTCAATTCGATACATCTTGTGTGTATTATATATACACTTATTAGAGCAGCACTTGATAGAAATTATAGTACAAAACCCTCAATGTAATGTTTCATACAAAGTATATATGAGAAGTACTTTGATTGGCACAGTTATGGAAATAACTTAAGTCCTCTTGAAACACGTCCACTGAACAGTTCAGGAAGAAATGAGTCCACATAAAATGTGCTCAATTTACTCAGCATGTCAACCCACAGTTCCTGGTCAAACCATACCCTCTGAATTGATGCTGTCCCTCTTAATGTCCATACTACAAAGTCACACCACTTTCTCCCTGTGATTGCCATCTGCCCCTGCACCTGGAAGTAATAATTGTGATTTGTTTTAAGTTTGACTTTTCCTTTATCATTGAGGTAACAGAAAAAATTTGAAACTTTTGCACATTCCTGGGGTGTTGACATTCTCCACTGCATTGATGCTGGACACTTGATTTCTAATAGTCCATGACCAACAGGTTTGCACTCTGAACATGTGCAGTAGACCAGTCCATCAGGGCTTGCTCCTAAGTGCGGGAATTTCTTATCCACTATCAAGCCACACTGTTTAACAGTAAGTCAAGGATGAGATTTTTTCATCTGACGGATATATGTCTTTCTGGCAGCAGCCTCATGTTTCTGACCATACTCCACAAACTTATTGGAAAAAGTCCGATAACCACATATGTCTTTTAAAAGAGCATCTGGCTCGCTCATATGTTTGCGCTTGATCACCTTGCCAAAATAAGATGAGGTTATTCTTTCCTTTCGGGCAGACTGCCAGCATTCACTCTTGGACTGTTCACGTGTCAAGTGTTCTATTGTAACAGATTCGCTTTCACTTATTTTGAGTTTTTCAAAATATGACACAAAACGTGATTTACAATGATCACTTTTCAAATCTGTGTGATTGGAGAATTGGAACTTAATGTTGTGAAGAAGAGGTAATGGCATTGTAATCTCTTTGACTGTGCCTGTGTCTTTCACAAAATTAGTCAACCAACCTGCCTTGGATTTGTTACTGATAAGTTTATCACGGAAACGTTCCACATTTACTGTTGACTTCTGTATATCAAACACTTTGATGCATTTATTTGCTGGTGCTTCGCGGTCAAATGTGTGTTTTCTAAACAATACATTCTCTGCTTTCTTTGGGCTTAATTTCCTTTTTCTTGGATTATTCCATTTGCACTTCTGCGATGTTGGGGCAAGTTTCCCATTAATTTTCTTCTCCGTAACATCAGCAATGGCATAAAGTAGGGCAGCTATATGATTGCAGGCCTCCCCTTCACTGAAAGAAATTAAAATATGCATGTACTGATTGATTTAAATTAAAGATTACTTTTCTTCAGTTTTTTTTTAATATATTATATTTGAAATTTGAAAGCTTATTGAATTTCAAAACTATTTAGTTGTCAATCATAATGACTATATTTAACTTATTTTACATAAACATTTATATTTACACTTATGTTTATATCATTATTAATTTACTTAAATAATAATATTTATGTTCAGAAACACTTATAATCATCCCACAGGGGATTGTTATGTCTGAAATACAAATGCACTACTGATATGTCCCAATATACATAGACAAGTCAGATTTGCATTAATTCAAACCCCTTTGCATTTATAAAGAGAAACTGATATAATGACAAAAAAAGCCAGTAATAAATTTATATACAAGAAGTTCTTAGTAACCACTATGAAAAGTTCATTTTATATAATCATACAACATTTATACAATTACTGTTTTAATAAATAAAAGTAATTTTATACTAATTTACATAAATATGCTTACCCTGCAGTACAATTGCATTCTGCTGAATTAATACACCCAGACACTTTCGACATCATGACCCACACATCATAGTCAGGTGTGTTTTTCTTATTGGCTGATGGCAACGATGGCAAAACTTTGCATTTCACATAGCAATGACTAGAGTTCTCGTCAATCTCACAGATCTGAACGGAATGTACATGTCCATCTTCATAAAATACTCGAGATTTAAGTTGCTTTTTACAATTCATTTTCAAAACGATATAATTGTAAATATCTTTCTGATAAAAGTCTGGTACACTTGACAAATCATCACTCCAAAGTTTTAATCCAGTGGGGTGAACAAGAACTTCTCCCAGCGGCGTCGTAAGTTTATTTACTTTTCTTTCAAATAACTCGATGTCGTCTTCGGCCTTGGTCACATTGATATCAACTAATCCCAGTCGATTCGCACCTTTCACACGTTCTATCAGTTGTCTTTTGTTCCCCGAGACAGTTTGTCCACGATTACTCAGGTAGCCCTTTAATTCTACGATGGTAAACCTCTCCAGGCTATCGTTGTTTACACACGCTTCATTAATCCCTTTGTCCGCCATTATTGATTCTGGTGATAATAGCCCCCGGAAGTAGATAGTGTCGGCAGCGCGTCGTATAGTAAGGGGAGATAACCTAGTTATCGGAAAGGGCTATTTAATGGTATGTTTCTGTGAGGGACTTGATTATTGACAAGGTTAGCAACTCCACCGGTTGCTTTGTTGCCTACAGGACCAAAGCAATTAGACATTACACTGGAATTGTGTTCCTGAGACAGTCGAACAATATCATCAATATCGGAACGAAGACCTCTACAATTCCATTTTATTATTGTATCCATTATCATTAATAAAAATAGAGATAAGTGGGGGACCTTTGATAATTAGCTATACTATTTATTTAACTAAAGGTTGTTTGACAGCTTTAATTGAGATGTTGGAGGATCTGGAAGTAGCTACCTGATATTCCACATCTTCCAGAGAACCGAATTTGTTGAAAGTGTGAATTGGTATGAAATAGAACTCCTGTGTTTCCTGCTTATATCCTATTAAGCCACGCCCATTAATAGCATTTGTATACAGTATACACCATGTAGCCAGACTACACATTATGTAATTAAAATTACTCTGATGATGTAACGGCTTGTCTTTTGTAATGTGTCTGTCGACCAGCTGGTTAACAAACAAGGCACAATACTATTAAAATTCATCGTTAATCCATTAAAACCAAATTAACAAAATATCTATCCATCTAGAGATACTTTGGTGAAGATTGTTTCTTAATTGTAAATATTGTTTAGGAAATATTTGTATGTGGTATTCTCCCACACTTCACCCCAGTTTGTCATATCCATGAAGGACAAACATAATTTTGTTTCAGCAACTATCTTGTATTACACTAGATATCCTCCATGTGCTTGCAATAACGGACAAAATTGCAGAAAATCTAAGGGATATATGTATAAATAAATTAATTACAGCCTAATTAGCAATATTCCTATATACGGTTATAAGGGGACATGAATCTGCCCATTGTTATTATCTGTATTTCCTCCAAATATGAAGATTTACAAAGACAACTATATAAACATCAATACATTACATAAATTTACACACGTACACACCAACACGCACATACATATATATAAAGTTACAATATGTTTTGATGGTTAATTAGAAGTATTTCACTAAACTATTCCTTCAACACATTTTCAAGATATAGTGTTTTGGTACTTATATGTACCAGAAAAATCAGATCACTGATAATAGTTTTTCAACATTTGACATGCATATGAGATAGCGCCTAATCTGAATTGTTCCGTTTTCTCTGAAGATAAATCATACTTTAATAGACTGCCTAACAGAGCATTAGTTAATTCGAAATCCGATAAGTTATGTATATGGACACTGAATTGAATATCTGACATGTTAATAACATAGCACCATAATTCGTCTCTAATACCTGCATTTGCATCACAATGTAGAACAATATGAGTTACAGAATCATTGTAAAATTGTCCACAAACATGGCACAATTCCATATTGGTAGATCTGCGAGAGGTTCAACGCCATCTTAAAATACAATGTATAGATCTAGAGTACTGAGGATATTTTGCAGCAAGTTTCCACAAGCAATGTGAATCTAGCTTGTTATGAATCGACGCGAACCGGAAGAAGTCACTGTCATTTGACATTCTTTGTTTCAATTCATTTTCTTCAAATATATATACATACTTATTTACCAATGTTTTCCACTGTCGTTTACCAGGTAACGAGCCCGTTCTTATTAAATCTGAAAAAAATACCAACGACGCAAGAACATTCCTGACCGAACGGATCTGTCTCTCCCATACACCACCCATGTGGCTAGCGGAGGGTACATTCATCTTGAAGCCAATGTAATCGCAACCCTTGTCGGAGAGGTACCGCTGAAGCGCCTGATCATCAAATTCCTGAAGAGCTTCTTTGAGCTTGCGCTCAGCACCCACAAAATTTGTTCCTCTGTCCGATCTCAATTGTCTTACTGGACCACGAACAGAGAGAAATCTTCTTAGTGCATTAATGAACGAGCTGGTATCCAGAGAGTTTGCCGTTTCCGGATGGATGGCACGACTCGACATGCACGTAAATAGAACACCGTACCTCTTCAACACCTTTCGGCCTTCCTTAATGTAAAAGGGACCAAAGAGATCCATTCCACTAAACATCAATGGAGGTTCAGTCTGCAGTCTCTCTGCAGGCAAGTCAGCCATCTTCTGACCCTGAGAGCAGCCTCACAGCTTGCGACATGTTACGCATTTGTAGATACAACTCGACACAGCAGAGCTGCATCCGATAATCCAGAAGCCATTGGCTCTAATTTCATTTGTGGTCATACCACGTCCTTGGTGCCTCACAATCTGGTGAAAATGACGAATCACAAGCTCAGTGATATGAGCTTTCCTGGGGAGGATGACAGGATGCTTCATTTCAGTACTAAATTCAACCTGTCGAATACGTCCACCGACTCGCAGAATTCCTTTTTTCGTCGAGGAACGGATCCAAACCACACAGAGACGATGCACCTTTGAAACGACATTTCCGTTTCTGATCGCAGATATCTGAAGACATCTCAGAGGCACGAAGAAGCTCGATATCCTCCTCATACGATATTCAATCGGCTCACCACGGCTGTCTCCATTTTCCCACCACAAGAATCGGAGATAGTTTCTGTGTTCAACGTTTACCTTGAACTGGTGGAACATTTGTTCGATGTCGCACATAAACGCAATCGGCTCTTTATGGAAACGACACAGGACACCAATAAGAGTTTTGGTAAGATCTGGTCCCTGTAAAAGGTGAGAATTTAAGGATTCCCTCTTGAAGTTAGCACTGCAGTCAAAGACTACCCAAATTTTATTCGGTTTCTGGGGGTAATAAACACCATGATGAGGAATATACCATTCATGCCTGTCTTCCGCTTCTGGGACTCTTTCTGCAAAGCCCTTTCCTATTAGCTCTGCCATGAAAGAAGTATATTGCTCCTGGTATTTGTTGTTAGAATCCAAGCGTTTCTTCAGCTGTTGAAGTCGACTTAGTGCCGATGTCTTGTTGTTCGGAAGGCACGGCATGCCTTCTCTAAACGGTAATGGCATCTCATAATGTCCGTTGTCGATGTGAATTCCGTCCCTCAGCAGGTTGAGGAATTGACAATCCTCATGCGAATAAGTTGCGTTGGTATCACAGGGTTCGTTGAAATCCTGTTTTAGAATCAACACGAGTTCTTCGGGATTAATAATCTCCTTGATACTACACCTAAAGGAGAATACTACATGGTCAGGAACCTTTTCGCTATCACCCGATAATAGAGCAGGTGGCACCGTACACGTAATACTATGATGACTCGTGCCAACAGGATCAACGTCTTCTAAGCTAGCCCCATCAACAGTACCCACAATGCCCAATCCAAGGTCAGTCCTCTGAGCATAGGGTCCACTGTCGCAATTACCTCACGCGGAACCAATGCACGCGCACAATTACATCCAATGAGCAGTCCGACTTCGCAATCGTTTAACGGCATTAGCTCATCCGCAATAGGAACCAAGTAAGACCATTGTCTGGCCACGTGTGTAGTAATGTGAGCTCGGTTGGCCGGCATGATGCTTCGTGTGAAAGTATCAGGGAGTGGTATGCTCAGAGAACTGTTAAATCCACAGACGGCGAGGCCCTTTACCTTTCGACTGTCCACTACTCGATTTTCTGCATACATGGTAGAAAGTAGAAGTTTGACATCCACACACGAAATTCCAACAGATCTACACGTATCCTCCAGAATAAACGTAGTATCTGACTGCGTATCCAACAAGGCATAAACCAATTTCTCCCTTCCGGGGTTGTCACAATGAGAAATATACACTGGTACAACCATTGAACTCTTACAACTTGTACATGTACTGTTGAATGCAGAGTGCACATGGGAATTAGTAGACGCAGGAGCCTTAACGCCATCAAGGTTCGTATTATTTATAACATTATTATTTTTGCCATTAGGCTTTGACCTTCACAGATCGCCATGTAAGGAACTGGGATGGGGTTTGGCGCATGTTTTACATTGTTTCCGCTGAGTACATTTCTTTGATATGGGTCCTGTCCCAAGGCATCCAAAACAAAGACCATTCTCCCTTGCATATTCCTTACGTTTATCCAATGGTTTGGATAGGAATTGTTTACAACAATTCAGATCGTGGTTATTCTTACACAAAGTTCCACAGGATTTAGCTTCCTTCGGCGAAGCCTCTGTCATCAGCGTTCGTCCTGTTGTAGGTCTTGTGACCTTAGCAGATTTTGAATCATCCCCATGATCTGTACGGAAAGACTGCAGTGAGGTGACTGGATCGCATGCAATCTTCGCCTCCTTCTGAACGAATGCTACAAAGTCCTTAAAGGGAGGAAAGTCATTCCCGTCTTCCTTTGTTTGGTTTACGATTCTTCCCCATCTGGTGACAATCCAGTCTGGGAGTTTGGATAGCATCTTCTTGTTCTCTCTACTGTCATTGAGAACGTCCAGTCTACCTATGCTCTGCGATGCCGCGAGGCATTGTCCGAGGAAGTCTGAAAACTTTCGCATTAGCTACAACAAAGGGGTTGTCGTATCGCTCGTCGAGCAAGTTCTTGGCATCCATATAAGCGTCATTGCTTGACAACAAAAAGTAATTCTCAACCACTTCCTTCACAGAACCACCGAGATATTTCTTGAGGTAGTGTATTCTTTCGGATGACGGTATCTTCCTCTCTTCCATTAGAGTTTGGAAAGCGGCCTTCCAACCAGGATATTGCAGAGGATCTCCGAAAAATACACTCGGTTCTGGAGGCGGAAGACGACTTAATGTAACCTGCTCTGCATGATATTTCGCAAGTGCCATCAGCCCTTGTTTCGTAATTCCAACATTTGGCAAGGGCAGGTTCGTGGCAGATCCCTGATCAGCTGCGTTGCTAGACGCGTTGTGGTTGGTCGACATATCTGTACGCAAATACTGAGATTCTAGCATCCACGTGGTTTGTGTCCGAGCGCTATTATATGCAGT